CAGTATTTAACAATTTAAGAGACATTTTAAAATTACAATATAATTTTTAAAGTTTGGTACCTGTAAAATAAGATTACAGTTTTCTGCAATACTACAAACACAAGTACTAAAACTTGGCTCAAAAGAGGAAAAAAATGGGCAGTTTTGATCTAAAATTTTATTTTTATAACATTAAACGCATTATTGGCGCGTCTATGATTTTTCTGTGTTTTTATCAATTATTTATTTATTATTATTTTTGGAGGTAATCCGGCCGGTAAGTCAGGTACCACTAATACCAACTATTGTTTTTTCAAATTCAAATTGTTTATGAGTGTAAATTACAAATAAGACAGTTTTTATCTGAAATTTAACATTTAACGCATCTATTTGCAAGTTTGCGATTTTTTTGTTTCTTTTTTATTTAATTTTTTTGGGGTAATCCGGCCGGTAAGTCAGGTACCACTGATACTGGCCATTGTTTAAATATCAAAAATTGTGCTAAAAAATAGTATTGTGGGCCTCTTTTTCGTTAATAGTGTGCTACATAACTCTTTTACTCATTAAATTTATGAAAATTATCGAGTTTTTGTCACAAAAGTAAGTTCAATTTTTTGTTAGTTTTTTTCCATGTTTCTTTTTATCAATTCTCACTTCCAGATACATCTAAAATAGTCAAGATTTGCGCGTTTGGTTACAAAATTATGTGAGTTAATTTTTTTCTTGATTTTTTCTCAAAGTTTTATTTCCAGCGAAACGTTTCTCACTATTTTACGAAGAATTTAAACTGATAAATACACAAATGTTCTAAGATTCAATTTAAAAATAGTTAGGTTAAGTTGAAAAAAATGATAGTTGACAGAGAAATAACATAAAAAAAAATAAACCTCTAACAACCAGTAAATCCCCCTCTTCAGAGGATTCCTTTAATATCGTAAACTCTGGTGTTTTCAGCTATGTAATCAACCATCTTTTTTTCTTCTTCAAACGAATATAAAGCATATTTGACACATTTAGGTAAAGTATCAATTTTATATAATCTGAACAAAAATAAGTAAAGTCGATTAAAATTATTGTAATTGTATAAATAAATTAAAATTTTACCGTAACTGCTTTGAAATACAACTTTTTTGTTGTTTCTTCAGAGCAGTTTTCAGTTACAACTTTGTTGCCAACATAAAAACTTTAAGTAATGTGAGGTTGGTTGCCTGAATAAGACGCAAATGTGCCAAGACAAGTTTAAAATTATTGAAATAAATAAAGATTGGTTGCCCGACTAAGAAATCAATATAACAAGTTTAAAATTCTATTTTGATACTCAAAAAATACTCAAAAATTACAGTGCGCCGCCACTGAAAAATAGTTTTTATTTACTGGTTGCCTTAGTAACAGTAAAAAGGAGCAATTCTATTGGATGATTTATTAAATTTTTTGAAAAGGTCAGTGGTGTAGGTAATAGTGAAACACTGGGGTCATATTAACGTTTATTTTGTTTCCGATATAAAATTTATCACCATAAATATATTACATAAATAACTATATACAATAATTTTCAAACAGGAGACTATACAATTAAAAGTAATTTTTATATACATAAAAAATACACAAAAATTCTCAATAGTTATGTCATAAATTAATTAAGGAACACTTGAAGGTCTGTCCACTAGCTAAGTCACTGGCCAAAAACCTAAACCTAATTTTTTATACATATCACTCATGCAGATGCGAAGGAAGTATAAAATCCGCCATAACATAAAGCATTTTCGCGTACCAAAAAACCCCCATTTCCGGTTTCCTCAACCCGGAATTCCCCCAAAATCCGGCCACCCATCGTACGGGCAAAAACGCCCAATGCGCCACCCATTGACTATCAACGCTCGCATAGCACGACGCCACGACGTCGTTCACCACCAGCGTCCCGACGCTAGTCAACGGCGCAAACACACCAGTCCGCCACACGCCCCTCACCTGCACTATCTCCTCGCGACTTAGACCGTCTTTGGGGTCACTCACGAGCAAAAAGTCGCCGATTTGGAGCTTCTCGGCGTATTTCACTGTCCGATCGTCGAGGAGGAGCAAATGCGACGGTGTCACTGTCAAGGTGCGACCCGAAGACAACGTTATCGAGAGAAATTCGCGCTTTTGACTCGGGTCGAAGTCCAGGAAAACGAGAATCTCGCTGAAGACGAGCTGCTTGGTGGCGGGGTCAAAGGCTTGGATTTTCTCGCCGATTCGGAGATCGGAGAGGTTGCGACGGAGGCCGGTGGAGGTCAGCACTGTTGTCTCGCCGGAGAAACAACCGCCGTATTTCGCCGCCTGAGACGATTCTGAAAAAAAAAAACAAATAATTAAAAATTTTCACCCGCCACTGATTTATTTCGCCCATATTGTACATTTCCATAGCAACGATGCTTGATCACCATAGTTACAATACGTTTCCATGGCAGTGGCGGCGCCAGCATAATTTTTCGGTTGGGCCAGGTGAACATTCATAAAATCATATTAGTTAGTTTTCTGTTTTATTTTTCCAAAAACTCATTTTGTAAAATAGAGGATTTATTAATTGCTTGATTTATTTATTTATTGTTTACGGATAAAAAACATTTTCAAAAATTAAGAAAACATATTTATATACAGTAATAAAAATAAGAAAAAAAGTAAAATAAACAAGGAATTATACATTATATTTATTACATTATAATTATACATAGTATATTTTTTACTGCGTTTTTGGATTAATCGGATTATTTTAAGGGAGTTTTAATCAGCTTTCCCTATATTTGGAGTTTTTACAAAAATTTTAGGATCTGCACCTTCCACTTTAAAAATTGGTAACTCTGCCATTGTTTAAGATTTTGAATTCGCTTAGATCCTTTTTCTGGTGTTTTCAAATTTTGAAAAAAAAATATAACATGTCTCAAAATTTTAAGGTTTGTAATAATACAAATACTCATAACTCAATTTTTTTAAATAAAATACCTCAATTTTTATTTTACTAAATTGAAGAGAATATAATTGTGCATTGATCTGTATTAACATTCCCTATAAGTTTTCAAGTTATGGACTTTTTTTTAAGACTACAGAAAATTTATCACTAGCCACACCCGTTTTCACATAGTTTGCGATGGAAATCAAAAATGTCAAAATTTCCTCTAAACAAACGTCATCAGTAAATTACTATTTGACAAATAGTGCCAAAATATCAAAGTTATGCAAATTTAATTATTATTATTTAAAGCTAACAAGTGAGAAAAGTTTATTTTTGTTTAATGAACGACATCATAATTTTGTTACACTCTCCATAAATACAAAATTAATTAATTAAATCTAAGTTTGAGTAGCTTTGACTCTCCATATTTTGACACTATTTGTCAAATAATAAGTCACTGTCGACATTTATTGAGAAACAATTTTGACATTTTTTATTTCCATAGCAAACTATACGAAAACTACTACTAATAACAGATTTTCGGCAGTCTCAACAAAAAGTCACCATAACTTAAAAATTATGAAATTTTGGTATAAAGAATGTTAATTCAGATCGATGCAGAATTAAATTCTCTTCCATTTAGTAAAATAAAAATTGGGATATTTCATTTGTAAAAATTGAGTTATGGGTATTTGAATTATTACGAAAGTAACCAAAAAATTTTATGGTTTGTAATTTTTTTTTCAAAATTTGAAAACACCGGAAGAAAGACCTAAACTTTCTCTTTCAAACGCCAAAAAACTAATTAAAAATTTAAAAAAATAGCAGAGATACCGATTTTTAAAGTGGAAGGTGCAGATCCAAAAAGTTTTGAAAAACTCCAAATATTTCAAAAACGGCTAAATTTAGGTATAGGGAAAGCTTATGAAAACTCCCTTAAAATAACCCGATTAATCCAAAAACGCAGTAAAAAATATACTATGTATAATTATAATGTAATAAATATAATGTATAATTCCTTAATTTGTATTTTACTTTATTTTACTTTTTTTCTTATTTTTATTACTGTATATAAATATGTTTTCTTAATTTTTGAAAATGTTTTTATTTGTAAACAATAAATAAATAAATAAAGCAATTAATAAATCCTCTATTTTACAAAATGAGTTTTTGGAAAAATAAAACAGAAAACTAACTAATATGATTTTATGAATGTTCACCTCGTCCAACCGAAAAATTATGCTAGCGCCGCCACTGCAGTACTGTCATTTTCATAATGTAAACTCTAAACAACATTTATATTAATAACCTCATTTTTTACTCTTGTCGTATTTATGTCATTTTGACTTATTTACTTTCAAAAATAGTGATTTGTGGCATAATAACGGGTAGGCAGCAGATCTTAATAAATTTCCTAAGACAGACAAATTGTTTAATTAACAAATTTAACAACAAATAAAAATAAATATAATTGTCAAATTTCAGTCATGATGACAGTAAAAGGTAGTTTACATTGAACTTTTTAAAGTGACAGAAAAATACTTACTGCCTGAATTTTTAATTCCCCAACTGTACGTATGTCTGTTTTTGAACTAACTGCACGTGAAATGTCAAATAAAATGACAAGTCGAAAACGGAAAAATGGGCTGGAATTAGTCGCCGACGTATAATAATAAGACCGTTCTTTTTTGAAGGTAAATCATAAATTTAGTTATCTTTTTGATCATGGGATTTTACCTTTTCACTTGTCATTTTATTTAACGTTTCACAGACATACGTTTTCGGATACAAGGACAAATTATTTTGATCTCTCGATACTTCCTTAGCTTTTACTAAATTAAAAAGAAATCATCAATTGTAATTTTCTTTGGGCCACATCTTAGCTATCTAATTAAATTAAGTTTATATCTCTTTAAATAATGAACTTTACCAACTCGCTAGGACACCTTATACACAATTTTCCACTTGTTTTAAAATTCTACACCTTTTGGTTTTTGAGTAATGACGGCAGCGACATTTTTTTTTAATGGAAACTCCCATTTTTTTAGCGAATTCGATAGATAATTGTCGAAATGGCAACACCAAAATATTATGTATTACATAGTTTAAAAAAAAAAAAATATCCAAAAAGTGAAATAATATCAATAAAAAACAAATACAATTTTAAATCAAGTTAACAATTTTGTATTTAAAAAAAAAATTGACCTGTTCGAGCATTTTTCCAAAACAAAATATTTTCAGTTTTAATAAATAACATTATTCTATAATTTTGCCGGTCACTGTATACCTACCCTCATCATTTAAAAAAATTTTAGATAGCCCCCCCCAAAATTAATTCCTCGATCCGCCCCTGCTTTATTTCGCCCATATTGTACATTTCCATAGCAACGATGCTTAATCACCATAGTTACAATACGTTTCCATGGTAATTATAGTGAGAGTCGGCTCGTTCGGGGCGGAAAAGGGGTTTTCGAGTGAAATTTTGTAGATAGATAAGATGGACTACAAAAGTTAATTTGGGGCTATTAAACTAGCAGCACAAATGTCAAAGCCGATGGTATCTGAAATGTATCGCTTTCAAGTGGCCGTTGGAAATAACAAATGACCAGATCGTTGGGATTTGATGATAATGCGCTGCAAGTTGGGTGCCGTTTCGAAATTAAATATTCTGGTAAAGATAAACCTTATTTATAACCAAACCGGTTCAGACAAGTAGTACCACCACCACCACCGAATCATCACATTTTTTCCATCAAAAAGGTGAATTTTCGTCGTCGTAATCGCATTACCGATGGTTGAAAGCTGTCACTTATTTTCTAACATGATAGGCCGGATTTGCAATATTGGTTTTCCGAAAATAATTTAAGTGGACGCAGTCGACTGGATGAAATTCTTTTAAGCTCTCACAGAGATTTACCTACACGGTACAAAAGGCGCTACGTGCAAGAGATTGTTGTTTTGTGTCTTAACATGATAACAGGAAAGTAAATCCTGACTTGGGGATTAGACTAACTGAGATTTAATAAAAAGCCACTTTGCCCAAACTGGGATTATTCTAGAAGTCGACACGCCTACAATTTTACGCTTTTTTGAATTTCTTAGCCAAATTTTTCAAAATTTGAAATTTGGACTGTGTTATTCGCAAACGACAGATTTTATCGCCGATATTTATGATTGGCGACGGCGTTTACAAGGCAACAGGGTGTTTGAATTACCTAAAACATCTAAAAAAAATTGTTGCAAAATTTTGACAATTTTTAGAATTTTAAAGATCATTTAAACAACGGTTTAGTTCAACTAAAAATTTTTTACAAAAGTTTTCAATACTTGTTTTTATGAAACATCAATAAAAGGCAAAAAATGACACAAAAAAAGTGATCAAAAAGTAAATAGTGGGTGAATTAAAATTATTAGAAAACAGAAAAAAAAAAACATTTTTTTTGTATATCACCCCAAAAATAACAATAAAATGAGTTTTTTTAATCAAACAGTTCGTAAAATAGATGTTTTGACCACTATTTTCGAGAAATAACTCGGCTTTGCCTCGTCCGGAAACAGCGATGATTTTTTGTCCGCAAAAACCGTACTTTAGACATTTGTAATAAAATAGTTATTTTTTGAAGTTTTGCGCACGAATCGTTGCTGTTGACGAGGCGAAGCCGAGTCTGAAATATCAAATTGTTTGTTCAAGCTTGTAAAAAAAATCAAACTTTTTATTACTTATGATTAATTTTTCAAAAACAGTGGTTAGAAATAAAAAATAGTACCTAAAATAACCATTTTACGTATTGCGTCAGAAAAAAACTCTTATAAGTCCGTAAAGTAGCTATTTTTGAGAGCGTATACAAAAAATAACTGTTTTATAAATTTTAAAAAAATAATGAATGGTAATTTTAAAAAGCTGAATTTAAGTAAGAAATGAATATGTACAGGGTGTGTCAAAACTCGTGCCCCTGTTTAAAAAAATATGTGTCAAAAAATTTTGACATTTATTTTTTGACATTTTTTCCATGTTCTTGCTACATATTGTATCTTAAGTATAAAAAACGCTCTGAATTTCTCAAAAGAAGCAGAAAACGCATTTTCTGATTTAATTTTGCGATTGTCCGCGTTGTTTTAGCAAACTTTTTTTAAATTTACTTAAATATCTAAGAGAAGAGAGAGAGAAAGAAAAAAAGAAGATAAACAAAAAATAGTAAACAGAAAATTTTCAATAAAAAGTGCAAAAATTTTGTCGAAATAAGCAAAGTTAAGTCATCTTAAACATGCTTTCAGAATTTCTTACTTTGTTTTCACAAAAAAAAAATTTTAATTTTGAGCTTTTTTCGTTCTTCAAAACTTAATAACAATAACAATTTTTTCGCTAAATTTTGCAATTTTTAATCTTATTTCAACGATTGTTGAAGAAAAGAAAACCATTTCTAAATTTAGTTTTGCAATTTTCTGCTTTGGTTTGGCAAAATTATTTAAAAAACGCTTCCAATAAAAAAAAAACAAAAACAAATATAACGCACCTACTTTTGTAATTATCTGCGTTTTTTGGACAACTTTCTTTCAAATTTAGATAAGGAACTAAAGAAAAAAATGAAAATAAGAAAGAACAAAAAATTGTAAAGAGACAATTTTCAATAAAAAGTAACAAAATTTTGTCGAAATAAGCAAAATTAAGTCATCTTAAACATGTTTTTAGAATTTCTTATTTTATTTTGACAAAATCTTTAAAATTTCGAGCGTTTTTCGTTAATAAACACTGCGAAACTTAGTGAAAATAACAATTTTTTCGCTTTTTGGAATTTTGCAACCGTTTTAGCAGATTTTTTAATCAAAAGCACAAAACTTCGGCAAAAATAAGCCGAAAAATCACATAATTAATTCAAAAATGATGTTATTTTTAAGTCATCTTAAACATGCTTTCAGAATTTCTTACTTTGTTTTCACGAAATTTTTAAAATTTTAAGCCTTTTTCGTTCTTCAAAACTTAATAAAAATAACAATTTTTTCGCTTAATTTTGCAACTTTTAGTCTTATTTCAACGATTGTTGAAGAAAAGAAAACCATTTCTAAATCTAGTTTTGCAATTTTCCCATGGCTTGGCAAAATTATTTGAATTTTTTGAGTTTCTTTTTAAAAAACGCTCCCAATGTAAAAAAATTAAAAAACAAATATAAAGCACCTACTTTTGTAATTATCTGCGTTTTTTGGGCAACTTTCTTTCAAATATAGCTAAAAAACTAAGAAAAAAGAAGAAGAAAAAAATGAAAAGAAGAAAGAACAAAAAATAGTAGAGACAATTTTCAATAAAAAGTGACAAAATTTAGTCGAAATAAGCAAAATTAAGTCGTCTTAAACATGCTTTTAGAATTTCTTATTTTATTTTGACAAAATCATTAAAATTTTAAGCGTTTTTGGCTGCAAAATCTAGTGAAAATAACCATTTTTTGCTTAATTTTGTAATATGTACCAGGAAAATGGAAAATGATAACAAAAAACTGTAAAAAGAAAACTTTTGATGAAAAGTGCT